ACACAATAAAGTAGCTTTGCAAGCTACAGATTTGCGAGGTCATTTGCTCAAAGTGAGGCTAAACAGAGCCAACCAGGACAACCACAACGAAGACTTAGATCATGTATAGAGAATACTCGACAATCTGAAAGCCCGCCAGAATGGCATGGCCAAGGAAATAGTAAGTTCCCCATTTACCTAAGAAGTTTACTAGGCCCCACTTCCGTAAGGTTCAGGGTGCTAGAAAGTAAGTTCGATGGGAGAGGGGACTCAAGAGACCACCTCAATAATTTCAACGACCTAATAGAGCTACACCAGGTCTCTGATTTGGTGAAGTACAGGTGCTTTGCAGTTATACTAGTAGGAGATGCCAAAAGGTGGTATAAGTCTCGCTGTATTTGCAGCAATTTCAAGCGAGGAGACAGTTTGCAATGCCGTTTAGCTACTTGAGCAACATTCATTAGAAAAGAGACAAAACATTAACCTTGTACTTGACAAGGTTCCAAAACAAACAGGCAAGGTTGCATATGCACTCGAGGAGTCCATCCAAACTTTACTGATTGTAGGGATCAGACCAAATATAAAGCTATGGAAAGAACTCCAAAGTGAAGATCATGTAAGCCTAACCAAGTTCTACTAGATGGCCGCAAAACTCCAATGGATAGAAAGCTCACGGGAAGCATTGGCTAGAAGTTTAGAGTGGTAGGCCCCGGACAAGCGATGAGATCGCCGATCGGATAAGCGTGGGGGCTAAGACCACAATAACAGGGATCGCAACAAGTTCTAGAAAAGACAAAAAAAAAATAAATAAATAAAAAAGATAACTAATATGTAGAATACACCCCCTTCACTTAACACATCGCTTATATCTATGAAGTCTCATATGAGACAAAGAGATTGCTCACTCCAAAAAGAATGAGGGGGCTCCAGGCAAAAGAGATTGACAAAACTATTGTTGATACCATCAAGATGTCAGACACAACACAAACGAGTGTCGAGCTTTGAAGGGTGCCATTGAAAACCTGAAAAGAATGAGCCACTTAAAGGAATTCGTTAAGACGACACTAGCTTGTGAAAATCCAAGCAAGCAAAACACCAGATCCTGAACCAAGACCAAAACCAAAACCAAGCCCAAAATCAGGTCCAGTAAGCCTTACCAAAGCCAACAACGAGGTATGGGTTGGCATGATCTATGGGGGGCCTGATATAGCAAGAAGCTCAAGGTGTGCTCGTGAATAATATGCTCATGAGGCAAGGACAGACTTGGTTCCTCCGATAATAAGTTGTGAATAGAAGTTGCCCAAACAGCCTAGACAAGAAAGCAAGGTAGTAGGGTTCACGATCGAGGAATGTGAAGAATCATTTCGCCACAATCATGACATGATTGTAATTGTAGCTAGAATCAATAATGCCTGAGTACAAAAGGTAATGGTCGACAATGGGAATGCAATGAACATCATTTTCCTAGGAGCTTTCTGAGGAATGAGGTTCACAGAGAGGGATTTGAGGGTGTGCCCTTTGCCGCTCTATGGATTTACCAAGGATAGCCTAGTTCCCAAGGGGACGATTGACCTCCTTGTGAATTTGGGGATGGAGCCCAAGATCAGGACGGTGATGGCCAAATTTTTAGTGGTAAACTGCCCTAGCTCATACAATGTCATCCTCGGAAGGCCAATCATGGATGATTTGAGCACAGTCACATTGGTCCACTACCAGGTAATGAGGTTTCTGACTCCTAGGGGGTCACAATGATCAGGAGCTTCAAAAAAGAATCTCGGGAATGTTACAATAAGGCCATATACATGGCACAAAAGTGGTCACTCTTGAGAACAATGGTTATAGTAAAATCCAAGCCAAACCCCAGACCATTTGAGGAGACATTAAATCCTTGCATCCATATAGAAGAACCAGCAATAGGGCCGACGGAAGAGCTGTGAGAAATAAGTGTCAATGAGAAAGATCCAACTTGCATACTAAAGCTCGATAGCAGTTTGAGCAGAGAAATAGCCAATAATCTGGTAGGGTTCCTGCAGAAAAACCTCAACGTGTTTGCATGGGTGCATGTAGATATGGTGGGGATCAACCTCGAGGTAATGTGCCACAAGTTGAATCTTAACCCTAAGGCTCGGCCCATAAGAGAAAAGAAAAGATCTATGGATGGAGTGTGCTCACAAGTGCTCAAAGATGAAGTTGACAAACTCTTGAAAATCAACTTCATTAGATAAGTCAAATACCTAGACTGGCTCGCCAACCCGGTCCTAGTCAAAAAGTCAAACAACAAGCGGGTGGACTTGCATCGACTTCACAAATCTAAACAAAACCTGTCCTAAAGACAACTTTCCGCTACCACGGATCGACCAGCTAGTAGATGCGACAGCCAAAAATGCTCTACTTAGCTTTATGGATATGTACTCAGGATATAATCAAATCTCAATGTACCAACCCAATGAAGAGCATACCGCCTTTATTGCTTACCGTAGAATTTATTGTTACAGGGTTATGTTGTTTGGACTCAAGAATGCTGGGGCGACCTACCAGTGCTTGGTGAACAAGATGTTCGCCAACCAAATCAGCAAGACCATGGAGGTGTACATCGACAACATGCTTGTCAAGTCAAAAGTCGTAGAAAGCCACATTGAGCATTTGGGGGAAATGTTTCACATCATTAGAAAATATCAAATGAAGCTCAACCCCTTAAAGTGTGCTTTTGGGGTAAGCTCAAGGAAATTCCTAGGTTTCCTCATGAACCAACGGAGTGTAGAAGCCAACCTAGTGAAGATTCAAGCTCTACTCAATATGAAAAGCCCAACCAACGTAAAGCAGGTACAAAGCTTGATAGAGCATGTGGCTATACTCAACAAATTTGTTTCTTGAGCCACAAATAGATGCTTACCACTTTTTGAGACCCTGAAAGGAAAGAAAGGTTTCAAGTGGACAGAGTAGTGTGAGAGCGCCTTCCAAGAGCTGAAGAAAAATCTAGGACAACCGCCTTTGTTGTCAAAGCCTACGTAGGGTGAGTCATTGTTATTGTACTTATCGATATCAAAGTCTACTGTCAACGCGATGTTGTTATACGAGGAAAGAGAAGTGCAATGGCCAGTATACTATGTAAGCAAAAGATTACTCAACATGGAAATGAGGTACCCTGATATAGGGAAGCTTGCCCTCACCTTGTCATTGCTACTAGGAAGCTGTGACCTTATTTCCAGGCACACTCTATTCACGTGCTGACCAACTTCCCTTTGAAGAAGATAATGCAAAAGCCCGAGGCATTAGTAGGTTAATCCAGTGGACAATAGAGATGAGTCAGCACGATATCAAGTACATCCCGAGGACAGCGATCAAAGGTCAAGCCTTGGCAGATTTCATATCTGAATTTTCCTATCAGCTAGAAGATGAGTCAAGCCTGACAGGGGCAAGCACCTCGGGAGAAATCGAGCAACAAAAGTATATGCTCGATGACTTATAACAATGGACTTTATATGTAGATAGCTCCTCGAATGCGCTCTTGCCTGAAAGTTTAGAGGGAAACCCGATCAGAGCTACGGTGAGATTTGGGTTCGTCGTTTCCAACAATAAGGCTGAGTATGAGGCATTGCTCTTAGGGTTAGTCTCGCCAAGGAAACGGGGGCAGAATCCATTAAGGTTTACAGTGACTCACAACCCGTGGTCCACCAAATTACTAGGAGTAACAAGCGAAGGAAGATAGGATGTCATCCTACCTATAACTAGTTGAAGTCGAGCTCAAGTAGTTCAGGTCTTTCACAATTCTCCAGATCCTAAGGGAGAAGAACATGCAAGCGGACGCATTAGCCCACTTAGCCTCTACAATGAACCAACAGAAGGTTGATTCTATGCCAATTAAATTCCTCCCAAAACCAAGCATCTCCGCTCTATAAGTATCAATCTTAACAACAAGTCAGAGATACAGTTGGATGAATGCAGTCATTGCCTACCTAAGGGATGGTACACTACCAGAAGAGAGAACTAAAACTAGAACACTCCACACAAAGGCAGCCCGGTACACACTTATCAATGATAAATTGTACAAGCGTGGGTTCAACGTATCGCTACTATGGTGTATCGATCATGAAGACGCAGACTATGTTCTAAGGGAGATCCATGAGGGGATTTCTGGAAATCGTGCAAGTGGCAAGTCCCTAGCTTACAAAGTACTTTGCTAGAGGTATTGTTGGCCGACGGTTTTCGATGATGCAGTGGACTATATGCGTAGATGTGATAGGTGTCAGAGGTTTGTAGATATTATGTGAGCTCCACCTCAAGAATTGACTACTTTGACAAGCCTTTGGCCATTCGTGATTTGGGGCATTGACCTGATTGGACCCTTGCCTCAAGGAAAAGGGAGTGTTAAGCTCACAGTGGTCTATGTTGATTACTTTACCAAGTGCGCAGAGGATGAACTCTTGGCTACCATCACATCGAACAAGTTGAAAGATTTTGTCTACCAAAGTATTATTTTTCGATTTAGAGTCCCCCACACTGTAATAACCGACAATGGGAAACAGTTTGATAATGAAGACTTTAGATTTCTTTGCAAACAACTCGGCATCAAGAAGTGCTTCGTTGTTGTTTACTAGCCTCAAGCTTCTTTTTAATGGTGTGCTTGATGACCTTGTTTACGACCTCCACTTGCGAACTACGCATGACTTAGAGCAAAATTCGGGTTCCAAAGTCCGATTAGGATAAATTAAATGATTCTGCAGGAATGAAACAATCATTGCTCGAAAGAGAAACGTTGAAAAATGTTCTTTCATTAGCTAAAAGTTTAATTCATTAACTAAAAACGTCTCCCAGGATCAAGTAGTGACTGCATCTTTCAGCTCCTCAATCCTAAGCCTGAGTCGCTCGGCCTCAACTTCAGCATTTTGCTAACCTATCATTTCCTAGGTAAGGTCGAGTGAAGTCCACTTGAATTTGGCCTCCCAGCTCGCTGCTACTTTCTAGGCCAAGGAAAGCTTAGAGTTTAGCTTGTTGTTGGCTCATCGCTACTGAGCCAAACTCTAGTCGGCCTTTGCTGCCTTAGCTTCAGCCTTACCCCGAGCAACCTCGCTCGCCTTGAGTTTGTTAAGGAATTCCCTTTCCTTGAACCCAAAGGGTGCAACTTCCTTCCTAAGGCGTTCAAGCTTGGCTTGCCTAACTTCCCTCTCTTTCTCCGCAACCACGGCCCTGGCCAAGGTATCCTCCTTTACCATCTCTAGCAGTATCCATCCCTTGTGAGTTCCCTCCAAGGTTTGGCCACATTCTTCATACAAGAGTCAGGGCGCCATGGCAACCTGAAAGCGAAAAGGTGAGAAGCAAGCAAGAAACAAAAGTAGCATTCAAAAAAAGGAAGCGAGCTACCAGTACCTTAGCCGCGTAGCTGCAGGTTAAGGCCAATATCTGGGAGACAACTGAGTCCTTGACAGCCACAAATGTTTGCCGGGTGACACAATCCCTGGCCACCGTAGCCCTAACACCAATATGGTAGGGGAGTTGGTTGATCAAAACGTCGACATCAGCCTTGGTCACTTTGCCCATCTCCCTATCCTTTGGCTTGGACAAACCAGGTCTACTCCCCCTGGAGTAGTTGCTGCACCCGTAGGAGCAGGCTTTTTCTTAGCCACGCTTTTTTTAAGGTCACCAGCATGCATGGCAAACTCTTTGCCCGAGCCCCCATAAGGCTCAATCACCTTCTTTGTCTCCAAGCCATCGTGTTGCTTGAGTGCTTTACCTTTTCTCGAGCCCACAATTGGCTTGGACATCTTCTTCGTTGGCCCCTTAAAGGGCCTAGTGGTGCTTTTCTCACCAATCGCCTTATAAGCGATCACAGATTTCTTCGCGCTTGGGCCTTCCACAAGCTCGCCTCTAGCACGCTTCGTGCCGGCATCATTGGCAGTTGTTTTGTCACTAGAGCAACCAACACCTTCTAAGCAGCCACCGACACCGCCGTTTTCTTCTTAAGGCTTTTGGGTTTTTTACTCTACATTTCTACAAGGAAAAAGGGAAATGAGTTAGCAATCAATTTGCGTAGGAAATCAAATGCGAGCAAGCAACAACTTACCTTTTTCCAAAAGCGCTAAAAAATTGGCCTCAACCTTGCAAAAGTCATACACCTTTAGGTGAATAAGCGTAAGAAAGTCGTGGACTTTGTGCAAATTTTCAAGAAGATCACTGAAACGTGATAGCCTTTACATGCTCGCCACTGGGAAATAGTTCTACTTGATGTTAACTGCAATAGAAAGTAATTCAGTTAGATAATGAAGCAAAGCTCAAAACTTGTCCTTGCCTACGCGGGCGACCAAAGCTTTACTTGCTTCCAGAAAGAAGACACCACTCGTCCCCGCTTCGTAGAAGAAGAATTGAGAATCCCAATGTGGGACATTCTTTAGGACATTGACCAACCCATTGAAACGTACTTTCCTCGCCTTGGAAGTACATCTTGCCCTTTTTTGAGCTTGTACAAGTGGACAAACTCTTTGACAGATGATTTGTCTAGCTCAGCGATCATGTACGCGATGTATACCCCAGTAATGATCAAGTAGAATTGGCTGTTAGTTGGAGAGGAGCGATCTTGAATCGCTTCAACACTTTATCGATGAAAGGGTGCAGGGGAATGGATACCCCGCACCTGAGGAAAGTCTGAAAAATTGCCACCCATCCGACTAGAGGGTTCTTTTGAGCGTGTTCTCCCGGGGCCATCAGATTGAGCTGCGGTGCATAGGTTGCCCTGATGCGTTCAAGATCCCTAGGGTGATTGAGGATTGTGGCTCTTTTCATACCCTGTGAGCTGAGGACAGTGAGGAATGAACTAGTTGGATCAAAGCACGATCAGACAAGCCCGTGACGTCAGGGTCCAAGCTTCTAGTGACAAACTCTTCGGATATCTTGGGGGACACATCCCCTAGTACTGCCAAGTCAACTGGTGAATCGAACATTCAATCTGTTGTGTGATTGCTAGACAAGGACATGGTTGTAATTTAACTTTGGGTACCTATAAAAAGAAGCGAACATGTGTTAGAGCTTAAACAACTCGGTGACCATTCCACATTCGCTTCCATCTTAGGCACCTAAAATATCTCACGCAACACAATGAAGTCGTGCGACCTACCCAGGACACCGATAGCCACCGCGATTAAACCCCTTTAAAACCCGAGACCACCAAAAATGCACCTCAAAAACCCTACTAAAATCTTAAAACATCCAATGTGGCCACTGTAGCAGCCACCCTTTAGTACAAAAGTCAGAAAAATGAGTAAGAAGGAGAAAGAAGTCTTACTAGAACAAAGAAGAGTGTTGAGAACTTGTAAGAAAGACCAGCATGACGACGTAAGAGCAATGGCAAAGAAAAGCAAGAGGGTGGGAGAAATTTCAAAGTAGTTGTTCTGAATATTCGCCACCTTTTACAATGATTTTACATGGAAGATGAAATGGCAGAGTTCAATCTTGACCATCGACTCACAACTTATCCTAGCCCTTTGTTCATTGAGCAATCTCAACCCTTGGACATGGCCACATGTCGACCATCCACAAAGGTATGACGAACCGTCAAAAATGATAATTTTCGCCGCCTAACGCCTCAACTTTGTGCGTGAACAGTTGTTGTCACCTACACGCAAGAAACGGTCAAGTCAAGGTAGCAGAAAACAAAAATTATTTTCTACATGGATCGTTCGTTGGTGCCAATATTAGGGCACAAATTTATAGTTTATACATTAAATAAGAATCTACAGAAAATTCAGTCTAGAGTTAAGAAATCATATGCACGTTTGGAGGCTCCTCCAATTTGTCTCTAAACGGATTTCGCTATCGACCCAAGAGTAGGATCGAACCAATGTAGTCTACACAAAGACAACCCCAAGGAAATAAAGAGGGATTTGCTAGATCTTCTTCAGCTTTAAGAACCAAGATGAAATCAAAAGAGATTTGATTCAAGCAAAAAGGCAATCTGGCGTGGGAGAAAGGAAAAAAGGGCTATAATATTTTTACTCTCAATGATTGAATGAATTCCATTTATTAATTCACAAAGTGTTGCACTTATATAGGGCACACTTTGTCCTATTCTATCATGGAATAGGCTTGGGCACCAACCCAAACACCCCCTGTATCCAAACAGCCCCTTTTAGATATTTAAATTTTAATCATCATTATCTCAATTAAATTCAATTAATATCACATATTAACATTTAACAATAATGATAATTTATTTAGATATATGCGAACACATATTTAAAAGTAATCTCACTTATTTAATTTTAATATCAAATTAAATAAAGGTTATGACCTCAGCAAATTTAATTACACTGTGAGATTACCAAAATACCCTTTTTGCCTAAAAAGACGAAAACACCCTTCTTACAAACTGGTTCTTAAACTATCTTCTATGTGCGTGACTCATAGGCTCCTTATCATACCGGTAGTGTGTAGTATTGCGATTAACTCCAATTAATCATCTCACTACACACAGACCAAGATTGGCCCCTAGCAAGGCATCATGGCCATCCGATAGATTTGGATTCAAAGAAGCAGCTACCTGTCAATGATATGGTTACCGTACAATCCAATCCTTTCATTATCTGTTATCTCAACGAGACCGAGGCATAGAAATAGTGTCAACATCAGTTACTCTCGATATGCATCTATTCAATTACTGGACCAATGACCTGAATAGTAATCTAGATAAAGCAACAACTCAATCCCACTATGGCCACAATTTTAGTGTTATTGCCATTTACTGAATTACGCCGTGAGATAACCTCCCCCATACCTGGGAGTGATGAATCCTCTAGCGATCCATCATAGTCTTGATACACTCCTTGATGCAGCCAATCACTACCGTATTGACAGCTCTGAATAGAACTGCGTTGCGCTAGTGTCAAACTACACCAATCGGTGCACAAGGCGCTCCGGTGATCTCAAGTCTAAGGATCACATGCACCACCATTTGTTAGAGGATTTGTTCCATAGACACTAGGGTTACCATCCATATGGAATCCTCTGGTGAGTCAGTCCAGTAAACTTGCCTACAGCAAGCACTCATGTGTTACACCAAGTTGTCATCAAACAACCTTGACAAGTGAGATCAGTCACTGCCTTTTGATAAGGTCGTTCAACACTATGATAGTCTTACCGTATTGTCTATGTCCTCACTTCAGAATAATACTAGGGCAACGGACATTTCTAGAACAGCCACCATATGTGCTCATAGGGTTATCACTATCAAGATTTGAAACACTTGATACCCTCATCACGGTTCTACCATTCTAAGGACATATATCAATACATACAATGATTATTTATGTGATATAGAATAAAATGCCTTTTTATTAATCAATGAACATTATTATAAAATGTCAATTCTACAATAATTGATTGGCTCTAGGGCACCCACTCCTAACAAACGTAACTAACAAAGGCTGCCACATTTAATGCGAAACGACCACGCAAAAATTACTTTATACCCTGACTTTTTATATTCTAAGTTTTAACAGGTGGCACAGGTAATAATGTCCAAGTGTGAAGAACATCAATGAAATGTAAAGTCAGTCATGGAAGTCCGATCAAGCATGCAATCAAAGACTCACTGTTGAAGCCAAGCCTAGCGTTAGATCGAGCGATAGTCTTCGAAGCCCGAAATGAGCATCGAACACTAGGGGGCAGATGCTGTGTGTGGCTTTTCCACCAAGCTTGGGCCAACACAAGGATATAGCTCGGCCTAGAATGATCTCAGCAACTATGATTAATTGACCTATCATGAGCTCATCGAGCCGTAGCTCAACCCAACACAAGCTAGTCGTGGATAGTCCCAGGAATTAATCAATCAATCCCCAGATTACTTCAGATCCTAGATATCGTGAGAATGACTGGATCAACAGTTATCGATGCGCAAACATAGTGCTCAATCGCAATGTTATCAGAATTGTGGTTCAAATCATTTGTAATCCCCTTAATTTCGCTCTTTCCTTTATGTAAATCTTGTATATAGACCCCCCCTAAAACGATGAGGAGGGGGATAAAAATTCTTGATTAAAACTACATTGTAAGCTCTCACAACATATACACAAAACACAGTGGACGTAGGCAGTTAACTTCACCTAACCACTTTAAAAGTTATCTTTGTCATTTACTTTCTGGCATTATCATTCACTCATCACTGATTACCCATAATCACGCACACATCAATTCTAATCCCGACAAGGTCGATCGAATCTTGTTGGTTGGTGTAGATTTCTATATCAACAATTCTCATAGAAGTTGAAGTGATTGGAATAAAGATATTGTGTAAAAGAAATTAGAGAGGAAATAACATGTACGAGGAAAAGCCAATTCGTTTTTATTAAAAGGAAGAACGTCAACTGAAATCTAACTAGAAGAAAATTAAGGATGAGGAAGAGCCAATTCAATTGTATGAAAAGGAAGAATAGCAACTGAAATCTAACCGGAGAAAAAATAGGGATGATGGAATTAACAAAAAAATTTAAGAAGAAAAATATTAAAAAGGGGTAATTTTGGAAAATAAATATGAAGTATTTAATTTAAAATGATTTTAACTATTATTAAAGCTTAGAAAGAGATGTAGTGGTGGGGCTTCAATAAGCCTACTCAAACAAAAAGTAAAAGGTAAAGGAAAAGGAAAAGAAAAANTATCAACTCATGATATCTTTCGGAAGCATCCGGTATGCCTACTGTGCAATATAGTTGCCCAAATTATATTGCTTCTGTAGGGAACCCTTTTCGATAATTCATTTACCAATTAAATGAATCAGATGGACAATTCATATACATACTTTATTTTAAATGCATGACTGAATAAAGGAAGCAATTTACATATATGAATTGAAGAACGCTTTCTTCTATTATTTATGATATATATATATAGATACAAGACAAAATGCTCTGAAACCGACAACACGAATGGTTTCTAGGGCATGCACTAATATACACTAACACTTTCACAACCATGTCTAAGTATTCTAGGTTCAACAAATCTGATTCTTCTGCCATCCTATCTAGTCCCAAGACATTTTCCAACTCTTTTTGTACTTTCCCCATAGTCTCAGGATGTTTGAAAAGTTCTGAAAGTATCCACTCAATAGCTACAGCTAAACTATCCTCTACAGCTACAAGCATGTCCTAATCATATTCATTTCAAGAAGAAGAAAATAATCTTTAATAGAAATTCAAAAACATATAAAAGTAATTGGAAACTAAAGAAATTTTAGTACTTCAAATTTAACAAATGGATTCCAAGTCTAACAATGTTATGCCTAAGGAAAGTAGGGCTGATGTGGATCAGGTCAGCATGCAAAAGTCAGAACCCGGGAACCCATAGCTAAGTCACGTGACAAAGGAGCAGCCTGCTTTTGTCAGTATAGTGGGCACCGCGCGTCAGGCCAGCCATGAGCTGGAGAGCTTCCACGTGTCCAATTGCATGCACCAAATCGCGCAAATCGTTTTGGAAGAAGAGTAATAGGACATAAAAGAAGATTTGTACGGATAATCCCACCAACTCACAGATTTAGCAATCATCACCTTAATCCATCCCACTATAAATTGAAGTTCCTCTCTCAATTTCGGGATTAGCTAATCTCTCAAAGAAATAGCATATACTATATTTCTCTCTCTCTCACTTGTAAACATCATTTGTAAAGTCAGCTCGCTGACCACGACCAGGTCGCTAACATTAATACATATCAGTGGATGTAGGACTTGCTTCCTTAAAGCATCTGAACCACTTTAAAAATAGTCTTGTCATTCTCTTTCACTCACATTCAAACCATTCACGTGTGTCTTCTGGGCCCACTTACCATTGCACATGCATGTTTAGTTGGTGTCCAAAATCCAACATCAACAGTTTGGCGCTAGAAGAAGGGCCTTGATTTAGTATTCATCCTTCATCAGGAGAATCTCTAACTCATTGGTCGTACAATAGCAAATGGCTCACTGATTTGAACCTGAACAAACCAACCAGAATACTGAGGGCATTCCCCAAGTGCAGGAGGACACCTCTCCCGGGGTACCCTCGGTCCCACAGACTGCCGCAGGGAACATCCCGTCAAGTTCACAACTTAACCTCGCCGTTCTAAGCTACCTGGAGAGGTTTAACAATACTCTCCAAATGGTCACGCAAAGATTGGACCGTTTGGACCAGGGTGTGCAACCCAGATCAAATGCAGCAGTGCAACTGCCAAAAACGCCTACAGGTCACGTGAAAACGCGGCAAAGGGTGATAGCCCATGCCGCGAGTACTGCAGCGCGTCAAAGAAAGGGTAAGCAAGTGGCGAAAAATGGGCCTAAAAGCTCCAAAGGCCCGGCGAACACCGACCACGCCCCAAGTAGAATACCCGTGGCATTGAGACTCGGTAAAAGGATACAGCCCGAGCCATCCCATGCCATGTCGCATGAAAACCCTCACAAAAGTGCTAGGCAGGACAATTCTAATCACCGCCAGAACAATCCTGATTGTCGTATGGGAAGTTACCACACTCCGCGGGTCGGTTCGCACCACCGTAGAGGTAGTGAAAGTTCCCTGAATAACGCAGTGCCATCACACGGCTCTACTCAGCGTGTGTCAAGATTGGCCGGAACTACCGACGGAGGCGAGGAGGAATCTGACCTACGATCATTCCTCAACCGTAGAAGTGAGGGTCGTACCCACATCGTGGAAAGTAATCCCCAGGTAACGCTGCTACCTCAAATCAAAGAGCTGCAGCGAGCTCTTGATCAACTAAAAGCTCAACACTATGAGCAAGGGTAGGTGGCATCAGCATCTCCCTTTTCTCCAGCAGTTTTAGCCTTCCCACTCCCATCGAGATTTAGAATGCTCGACATGCGGGCGTTCGATGGAAATTCTGATCCGTAGGATCACTTATATGAATTCAATGACCTGATGGAGTTTCACCAGGTCTCGAATTTGGCAAAGTGTCGTTGTCTGGCAGTGACCTTGACCTCTCATGCCAAACGATGGTTCAGGTTGCTCCCGGCAAGATCTATCAATTTGTGGCCTTAGATAAGCATGACGTTCCTGAGGCACTTCCAAGCGAACAGAAAGTTCTCAATGCCTTTGAGTTATCTCAGCAATATAAGGCACGAGAAGGACGAATCCCTCCAATCATATATAGATCGATTCCACAGAGAACTTAACAAGGTAGCTCACACTCCCGAAGAGTCTGTTCGGACTCTCATGATAACAGGAGTTTGTCCACAGATCGACCTGTGGAAAGAGCTACAGGCTGAGGATGATATTTCTCTTACCCGCTTTTACAACCTTGCGGACAAATATCTCCGTATTGAAAGTTTTGTAGTGGCACTTCATCGTCGCGACTGCGGTGCCTTAGGTAGTGCGCCTGGTCGGGAGGAAAGAATGAGAGTTAATCACAGACGGGCTCCTGACGATCAGCGAAAAGGAAAGAAGCCGAGCTATGAGCCCAAAAAGTCTTATGCCCCAGTTTCTCATCGCGATCGTGACAGGAACCAATATACTCCGTTGAATGCATTTGTATCGGCTATTCTTTACAAGTCAGAAGAAGCCAGCCTACTCGGAGAACTTGAGCCCATGAAAAATCCCCCATCGGCCAGGAACAGTAAAAAATACTATCGCTATCATCGAGATAATGGGCACCATACCGATGAGTGCCAAGCTCTCAAGCAGGCGATCGAAGACGTTAATAAGCAAGGACACTTCAAGGAATATATTGATGACTCCGCTCCCTTGAGAGAGAAAAATTAGGGGGAATCGAGTAAGAAGCATTGTGATCGCAAAGGGGTGTACACCCTCAATTTAATCTTCGGGGGACCGCACCTCGTGGGGAACTCGCAAGGTGCCTAAGAAATGTATGCTTGCGAAGCCCATCACGACCCTATCAGAGTGATGAGCACAGCGCAGCGACCACAAAAGGTTCGCAGGGATGAGGAAATCTCCTTCTCTGAAAAGGACGCGGCTCGACTACATCATCCCCACAATGACGCTCTTGTGATCACACCCCTCATAGGGCGCCATAATATTCACAGAATGTTAGTGGGTAAAGGAAGTGTTGTGAACATCCTGTTCGCTTCAACTTTCAAAAGAATGAATTTGGACAACGCCAACCTGGAGCCTGCCTCATTCCCTTTATATGGTTTTACAGGGGACCACCTACTCCTCTAAAGGACGATCTCACTCCCAATCACACTAGGTGACTTCGACGAAGTGACCAAGGTAATCAAGTTCTTGGTAGTGGATTGCCCATCCGCCTTTAATGGAATCTTGGGACGACCTCTGCTAAGACACTTCAAGGCAATCACTTTGATTTACTATCTGAAGATGAAGTTTCCCACCCCGACGGGGATCGGGGAAGTTAGCGGGTCTCAGCGTGCATCTCGCGACTGCTATGTGAAAGCAATATAGATGGCGTGAAAGGGGAAAGGCACCTCATGCGACAATCACAGACAGGCAATGGCGATCAGCCGAATTGAGCCACAGCCTAGCCCAGCCAAGGATAATATGGATCTTCGCATTCAGGAGTGCCCTTCCAGTGGGCCAGTTGAGGACCTGTCTAAAGTACTGGTCGACCAGAACAAACCGAGCAGGGTGTTAAGGATTGGGAACAATCTCAACCCGCAGCTCACCAGCGAACTGACTAGCTTCCTCAAGAAAAATATCAATGTGTTCGCATGGTCACATGCAGATATGGTTGGGATCAGCCCGGATGTTATTTGCCATGCGTTGAACATCGACAGCGAAGCCAAGTCGGTTCGTCAAAAGAGGAGAGCGATGGATCCGGAGCGGTACGATGCCTTGAAACTCGAGGTAAATAACCTCCTTCGGAGTAGATCTATCCGAGAAGCACTCTACCCGACTTGGGTTACCAACCCGGTCCTAGTGAAGAAGCCTAATTACAAATGGCAAACCTGCGTCGACTTCACTGACCTCAACAAGGCGTGCCCAAAAGACAGATTTCCCCTGCCAAGGATCGATCAGCTCATGGATGCCACCTCAGGGCACGAGCTGCTAAGTTTCATGGACGCGTACTCGGGTACAATCAAATTCTGATGTACGCACCGAACGAAGAGCATACATCCTTTGTTACAGACCAGGGACTGTACTACTACAGAGTTATGCTCTTTGGCCTCAAGAATGCTGGCGTAACTTACCAGCGGCTGGTTAACCAAATGTTCTTCGAACAGATCGGTAGAACAATGGAGGTCTATGTGGATGACATGCTTGTCAAGTCGCCTATCGCTTCAGATCACATAGCATATCTCGCTGAGATATTCGACATCCTACGACAGTTTTGAATGAAGCTGAACCCCCTCAAATGTTCATTCAGAGTATCCTCGGGAAAGTTCCTAGGGTACATGGTTAACCAATGGGAATTGAGATCAACCCCGAAAAGATCCAAGCTCTCCTCGATATGAAGAGCCCGACCAACAAAAAACAGGTCATGAGCCTGAGTGGGCGAATAGCAACGCTAAGTCGCTTCATATCAAGGCTAACAAACCGATGCTTGCCATTCTTCAATGTACTCAAGGCCAATAAGAAGTTCGAATGGACTCCCGAGTATGAGCAGGCATTCCAAAGAATAAAGGAACACCTCGGGAAGCCACCACTTCTGTCCAAGCCTCTCATGCAAGAGATCCTCTTTTTGTACCTGTTCGTCTCACAGTTCACGGTTAGTGCAGCCTTAGTTCGGGAAGAGAACATAATGCAATGGCCTGTATATTACGCGAGCAAGAATCTATTGGATGCCGAGATGCAGTATCCAGAAATGGAGCAATTAGGCTATGCCCTGCTGATCGCTTCCCGAAAGTTGTGACCTTATTTCCATGCCTATACAGTTCACATAATGACCAACTACCCGCTCAGGCAGGTCCTCCAAAAACCGGAGGCATCGTGTAAATTGCTCAAATGGGCCATGGAACTCAGTCAGTTCGATCTCCATTACAGACCGAGAGTAACTATCAAAGGGCAGGCTATTGCCGACTTCATATCAGAGTTCTCACATCACCCGACGAGTGAGTCGAAACAACAGTCCAGTGAAGTCATCCAAGAAACTGTCCAAAACCTGTCAATCTGGAGCCTCTACTTTGATGGATCATCAAACAGAAAGAGGGCTGGGGTAGGTCTTCTCCTATTTAGTCCCGAAGGGGCTCGT